TGCCGAACGTGGTGGTGCACTGTGAGTGGCGGGCGGCCGCGCTCACCCCGATGGTCTGGTAGTTGCCCTTCACCCCACAGAGATAGGCTGTGGCTGTCCCTGCACTGTCAGGGACCTGCCTGTCCACATTGTAGGTCTGCCAAGGATAGAGGGACTCAGGACAGGGGTCCACAGTGGGGTGTCCCCCCAGCAACCTGTGGCACACTCATTGACACCCATAAACACATGTGGCATGGGGAGGCACCCCATACGCAACATACGTGCAGCTCTGGGCTGCCAGAAGCCCCATGCCTGGGAAAACCTGGTCCCATGCCCAGGATCACCATGGCCCCATTTCCAGCAGGCTGGAATTTACCTTAGAAAGAGCCACGTAGGGGAAAGCATCCAGAGCAAGGGGGGTCTCAGGGCCAAGCTTCCCCTGTTGCTGTGCCTTGAGGATGCGGGTGGCTGTGATGGTGGGGATCCCAAATCCTGGGCAGAGAGAGGGTCCTAGTCACCCTCTGGACCAGGTGCCCTGCACACATCCCACTCAACAGAGTACTGGCCATGTCGGCCTGCTTGCTAGGGTGCCAGCTGGACTCACCATCCCCAAGGAAAATGATGAGGTTTTTGGCTTTGTGTATCCTCGGCTGGAGTTCTAAGGAGGCTTCGATGGCTGCAGCTGCCTGCTTGTACCAGAAGGATGGATTCTCCTCCTCCGCTGGGACAGTGCAAACACCCATCAGTCCCAGCACAACAGCACCTGCATCCCTGGGGCACCCCTGAGGGGTACCCAGAGCCCAGGGATACTTGTTCCCTGAGCACTCCCATGCTGGGACCTCCTCTCACATGCACCAGGTGGTTTGGGGCTGTTTGGGACAGGGGGAGACCGTGCAGGCTTGCACTGACTGCCTGGCCCCAGGGCCCTGGGGCAGGGAACAAGGGGGAACAGCAAAACCTGACATGATGGTGAGGGGGACAGAGCCAAACCCATGGGAGGGAGCAGTGACTGAGGATACAGGCACTTCCCCCAGACCAGCCCCCAGCACAGAAGCAAGTGAAAATCTGGGGGAAAAGTGGTGCCCAAGAAGGGCAGGAGTGACGAAGCCCCATTGATTCTTTTTCAGCTGGGCAGCCCCAGCTCCCCTCCCCAGGCCCTCCTTGTGGCCAGCCTGGCTGACACCCTGCTTCCCTGGGCACCCACCGCAGCCAGCTGGGCCCCAGCCCCGTCCTTGTCCCCACCTGGAATGACAGCGGTGCCGAGCCCTGCGCAGAGGCAGAGGCTGAGGGATGCCAGGAGCTGCATGTTGAGATCTGACAGGCCAACGCTGCTGGCAGTGTCTGTAAATCCAGCAGCTGTGGGAGGGACTTTGGACAGGGATCAGCCCCAGCAGGGTGTGTGGAGGTGTGTGTCACCACATCTCTGCCGAGTGCAAAGGCCGCGTCCTGGGCTCAGCTCACCTCCTTGGCACAAGGCCCTGTGCCTGCTGGGCACACATGGGCTTGGGGCACAGACAGATGCAGGGACAAGAGGAAGTGCAGTGATAGCATTAAATCCTGCCCTGGGCACCCTGGCTCTGCTGCCAGGCAGGGCAATGCCCTGTCCCAGGCCACCATGGGCAGCTCTCAGCTGGGATAACGGTGGGGATGGGGAGCACCTGGGGTCACTCGTGCACTGAGCACCCTGCTCTCTTCCCAGGCTTTCATGGGCAATAAATCCATGGGTATGGACTACAACTCTGCTCCTTGCTCACCCCTTGATAGGAATGTACCAACCCTTGTGTACAGTGCTCCAACCAGGCAAAGCTGGGCAGGACATTGCCTCTCCTCACCCGCATTTCATCACCTCCTGCACCCCAGTGCCTGTAGTGCTGGTGCCAGGGGAAAGCCAGGAGGCACAGCCAGCTGGGGAGGCAGTCACAGGGCAGCACCTCAGGAGGCGACGGCCACTGAGAACTTTTGCAGGGCAGATGGAGACAAACAACCTGTGTTTATTGCATCCCTTGGTCCTGCCCACAGTGGGACTCAGCCAGAGCCTCTCAGCCCCTCCCTGTGAGGGCAGCCATGCAGAGGGCCAGGAGGGCCAGCAGGGGCTGTGGGGAGCACCGCGGGCCATGGGAGGCCCTGCGGGCTGCCCTGCACCCGGGCTCTGTGGCATAGGGCTCGAGGCAGGCGGCGTAGGCCATGGCGTGGGCGATGTAGTGCTGCTCCTGCACCCCGTGGAACAGGTGGGCCATGGGGCCCTGGGCCAGCACCACCACGTCTTCCCCACTGTGAGTCTCTGTCTCCAGGCGTAAAATTGATGTTGCCTGTGCAGGCATGTGAGCATCCACAGGTGTGTCCAGAGGGGTGAGTTACCTGTGTACTTGAGTGTGTGTGTGTGAGTGTGCAGGTACGTGCAATTGTGCTCAGGTGTGTGTTTGGCTTGGAGGCTGTGCCTGTGGTTACAGCCCAGCAGAGCTGTGTGTGAAGAGCGAGGGTGTCCATGCAGCTCACCATGCAGGCTGCAGCACAGCAGTGGGGCTGGCCATGGGCAGGTGGGGGACACCGGGGAGCAGGGATGGGGCAGAGAGTGCTGGCAGCATAGGGCAGGCTGTGGGGCAGCCCATGTGCCAGTCAGGCCGTGGAGCAGGGGCCTGCTCTGTGCCCAGCACTCCCAGCCTGTTGCACGCTGCCTGCTGCAGCTCCAGCAGCCTCCAGCAGGAGGGAAACTGAGGCAGGGACGTGCCCATTCCTGGGGCTGCTCCAGCACACTGCCCTCCTTGGCTCCAGGGACACCAGGGCCATTCTGTGATATGGGGAAGGTGAGGGGAGCCTGGCCCTGCACAGGGCCCTCCCTCTGCTCACCCAGTGCCCATCTCTCGCCCCAGATCGACCAGGATGGGCTGACCCTGCCCGAACGGACCCTCTACCTGGGGCAGGATGAGGAGAGCGAGAAGGTGAGGGGGGCACAACGGTGCCCTGGGGACAGCAGGAGAGGGAGCAGCAGCCAGCATGGCTGGCAGACAGAGGGCAGCCAGTGCCAGCAGTGCTGGGGACTGGGGTGCCACAGGACAGTGCGAGGTGGCCTTGAGCATCACTTCCTTGCTAGCCCTGGCTGGAAAGGATGGAGGGGTCCATGCACCCCTGACAGTGCTGGCCCTGGCAGCTCAAGTGGAAGCGCTTGCTGGATCGCATCTTCCATGACAGCTTCTCAGAGGAGGAGGAGGTGGTGCTGCTGGCCAACGACTATATGCACAAGGTGTCCAACCTCATCCGTGTGACACCCAGCAGGTGAGGGGGCTGTCACCCCCTGTGCCCCTGGCACCTTTCCCAGCCTGGCAGGGGGCACAGGACAGCTGTGCCTGGACCCTCCCACCATCACTCTCCTCCTGGTGTGGGAAGGCCATGCTGGGCACAGGAAATCTGGGAAAGCTTGTGGGAAAGGCTCTGTTGTGAGCCCCACAGCATCCTGGTCATGCCTGGACACCTGCTGAGCCACCCACGCCAGAGGTCACCAGACTCATGGCACCTCAGGGAGGGACGTGGTGCCGGCCTGTCCCTGTGCCCCACCAGCCATGGCCCCTGTGTCCCTGATCAGGGGTGTCCCCAAGCAGGGGTGTCCCCATCCTGGCACATGCTCCCACTGTCCCTGTGCCTGGGGACGTGCTGAGGGCCGCCCCTGTCCCTGTCCCAGGATCCTTCACAACTACATGCTGTGGCGCATCGTGGTGGTGCTGAGCGAGCACCTCTCCACCCCCTTCCGCGATGCCATCCACGAGCTCTCCAAGGAGATGGAGGGCAATGAGAAGCAGCTGGAGCCAGGTAAGATCTGCCTGAGCCAGGCCAACAAGCACATTGGAAAGGCCCTGGGAGCTCTATTCGCTGACATGGGGGGGCTCAAACTCGCCTACTACGTGAGTGTCCCCCCACCATGGGCGTCACAGCCATGGGCAGCTGCTTATGTCATCCCTCTTGAGGGGGAGGAGATGCCCCAAACCCTCCTTACAACCTGCAGCAAGGGGTGTTCAGGATCCTGATTGCTGCTTGCTGGGGGCTTGGGGTGGGTCCAGGGTGGGTTTGGGGGAGCATCCAGGCCATGCTATCCAGGCATCCCTTGTTCTCCAGGCCTACCAGAAGTGGGTGAGGGAACACGGCCCCGAGCACCCCTTGCACCACATGAAATACACACACGACCAGCTCTTCTTCATCGCCTTTGCCCAGGTGAGCCCCTGTCTTCCTCACATGTAACAGCTATTGGGGCAGGAGGGTCACCTTGTGTGGGCACAGTAGCCCAAAGAGATGAGGAGAGAGCCTTGTGGAACCCAGGGCCAATGGCCAGGAGCTGGGCTTGGCTGCATCAGCAGGTCCTGGGCTCAGGGTACAGAGCTCAACCCTGAACGATCACCCCACATTCTCCTGTTGTTCCTGTGGACCCTACAATAATAAATTAGTGTGTCCCTCATGACTTCCAGGGCATCAGAGTGAAAAACACACTCAATCCCAAAATTCTAGGAAAAGCTGCTGCCAGGCAGCTTACAGTCAAGGCAGGTCGAGGACTTCACAGTCTCCAAGGGGCTGCCCCATGCCAAAAGCCTCCCCTGCATGGTGCCCTCCCCATGCCAGCCCCTGTCCACGCACCAGCCCTGCCCGGGGGGGCACAGCGGCGCAGCCGGGCCGGGCGATGCCGGCCTGCCTGGGAGTGCAGGCACACGGACACTGCTGTATTTTCCACTGCTGTTTCTGGTCAATAAAGCGCTGGATATGCTGGGTGGCTGCCAGGGGCCATGGCCAGGGGATGGGAGCAGTGGGCAGCACCCCCAGCCCTGCCCACATGGCACAGGCACCCCCACTCCATGAACACGCCTGTCCCACCAGAGTCACACTGCGTGTTTATTTAACCCCCCACTGCCCGGGATTCGGTGTCCCCATGGCTGCTGCACCCAGAGCTGCGATGCTTCAGAAAGCTGCCTGCAGGTGCCACACCGTGGGGAGGGAGGGGAACGTGAGTGTGTCCCGTGGGGTGCCCTAGGGACGCGGCATCAGCGGAAGAGGGGCAGAAGGAGGGCAGGCAGGAGCAGGGCCAGGGGGCTGCCGCGGATGCCGGGGCCGGAGTTCCGCTGGCGGCAGTCAGTGTAGGGCTCGATGCAGGCGGCGTAGGCCATGGCATGGGCTACATAGGTCTGCTCCTGCACCCCGTGGAAGAGGTGGGCCATGGGGCCCTTGGCCAGGATGGCCACGTCCTCACCACCGTGGGTCTCTGACTCCAGTGGCACAGCTGCCTGTGGCTGGTAATCAAAGTGCACTGTGGAGGGGAGAGAAGAAGGTGAGGGGGGGCAAGGATGGCCCCCAGCCCCACCCCACCACCCAAGCCATGGCCTCTGTGTCCTCACTGGCTGTTTCTGGGTCCACGTTAGGCCGGTCAGGGCCAGGGTATCCTGGCCCATTCCCGTAGAGGATCGATGTGTAGTTCTTCCCGTCACTGGCTTCCGTCGGCGCCAGACCTGGAGAAGGGGCAGTGGAGGAGAAGAAGGAGGAGGATCAGCCAAGGAACACCCATATCACCCCTCTGGCCACAGTCAGGGTGGCACAGGGCTGGCAGTACCCAGGAGAGGGGAAAGCCCCACCGAAGATGGAGGAGCCACGCAGGGTGTAGCCCCCAAAGGTGAAGACATGTGAGTGGTCAGCAGTGACGATGGTGAGGGTGTCAGCCTCATCTGTCATGGTGCCTGCCCGCTCGATGGCCCAGTCAAACTCCACTGCCTCCGTCAGTGCCTTGTGGGGTGAACCTTCGTGGTGGCCACGGTCGATTCTCCCACCTGCAGATGGGCACCCACGATGGGCTGGGGACCTCCTACCCCTACCCTACAGCCCCCTCTCACTGGCCCCAGGGACCTGAGCCCCAACTTATCTTCCACAAAGAGGTAGAAGCCATTTGGGTTCCTGCTCAGGACGGTGATGGCTGCCTCTGTCATCTCACTGAGTGATGGGTCCAGGGTGGTGTTACGCACCAGGTTGTACTTTGTGTCCACAGGTTCAAAGAGACCTGTAAGGGAATGTGTTGGGGACAGCATCAGTGCCTGAGTGTCCCAGTGCCTCTTGGGTCCTGGCACAGGGGTCATTTCTTACCCATCAAATAATTCACGTTGGGGTCGGCAGCAGCTGCCAGCATCTCTGTCCTGTTCCAGACATAGCGGGCACCCTGTGGGCAGATCCACCCGGGGGTCAGTGGGTGCCTGTCCCTGTGCCAGGGGCAGTGGGCAGAGGAGCGTCCCTGACGCGTCACGCACCGGCCGTGCCTGCAGCCACATGTCGATGAGGTTGTTGCCATCCTCGCGTATCCCATTCTGGCTGCTGTCGGCGGGGTACTCAGGGTCCGGTGTCCCCGCGGGGGTCATGTATTTCCGACCACCACCCAGGATCACCTGGAGGGGATGAGGTGGACAAAGTGTTGTTAGTGGGGGTGCCCTGAGAGGGCTCTGTCCCTGCTCTCCTCCAGTGTGCGGCGCTCACGTTGATGTCGACGTTGTGGACCAGCTGCCAGGCGATGTCCGTGCAGCCCTGCTGTCGCGCCTCCTGGGGCATGCTGGCGTCTGCGTACCAGTCCCGGTTCACCACGTGTGCGTAGGTTCCCGAGGGTGATGCGTGCTGCACCCGTGTCGTGGTCACGATGCCCACTGCCTTCCCTGCCAAACCCCGCTCATCAGGCCCCACCGAGGGCAACACAGGGTCCCACCACCAAGCTATGGGATCCCCACTGCAGGGGAAAGCCCCCGGTGTGGCACCCCTTGTTCCCCCAGGGCTCCCCCCAGCCCTGCATCCCCCGTTACCAGCTTTGCGGGCTCGCTCCATCACTGAGATCACCTCGTTGCCAAATGTGGTGCTGCACTCTCCGTAGCGGGCGGCCGCGCTCACCCCTATGGTCTTGTAGTTGCCCTTCACCCCACAGAGATAGGCTGTGCCTGTCCCTGCGCTGTCAGGGACATGTCTGTCCACATTGTAGGTCTGCCAAGGACAGAGGGAGGTGTCTCCAGTAGGGTGTCCTAGCAGCACCCCCTGCCACACTCCTTCACTCACACATGAACACATGTGGGATGGGGAGGGGTCCCAAACACAACATATGTGCAGCTCTGGGCTGCCAGGGCTGCACATATGGGATAACCATGGCCCCATGCCCAGGATCACCATGGCCCCATTTCCAGCAGGCTGGAATTTACCTTAGACAGAGCCATGTAGGGGAAAGCATCCAGAGCAAGAGGGGTCTCAGGGCCGAGCTTCCCCTGCTGCTGCCCCTTAAGGATGCGGGTGGCTGTGATGGTGGAGACCCCGAATCCTGGGCAGAGAGAGGGTCCTAGTCACCTCTGGACCAGGTGCCCTGCACACATCCCACTCAACAGAGTACTGGCCATGTCGGCCTGCTTGCGGGGGTGCCAGCTGGACTCACCATCCCCAAGGAAAATGATGAGGTTTTTGGCTTCGCGTATCCTGGGCTGGATATTGAAGGAGGCATCAATGGCTGCAGCTGCCTGCTTGTACCAGAAGGATGGATTCTCCTCCTCCGCTGGGACAGTGCAAACACCCATCAGTCCCAGCACAACAGCACCTGCATCCCTGGGGCACCCCTGAGGGGTACCCAGAGCCCAGGGATACTTGTTCCCTGAGCACTCCCATGCTGGGGCCTCCTCTCACATGCACCAGGTGGTTTGGGGCTGTTTGGGACGGGGGGAGACCGTGCAGGCTTGCACTGACTGCCTGGCCCCAGGGCCCTGGGGCAGGGAACAAGGGGGAACAGCAAAACCTGACATGATGGTGAGGGGGACAGAGCCAAACCCATGGGAGGGAGCAGTGACTGAGGATACAGGCACTTCCCCCAGACCAGCCCCCAGCACAGAAGCAAGTGAAAATCTGGGGGAAAAGTGGTGCCCAAGAAGGGCAGGAGTGACGAAGCCCCATTGATTCTTTTTCAGCTGGGCAGCCCCAGCTCCCCTCCCCAGGCCCTCCTTGTGGCCAGCCTGGCTGACACCCTGCTTCCCTGGGCACCCACCGCAGCCAGCTGGGCCCCAGCCCCGTCCTTGTCCCCACCTGGAATGACAGCGGTGCCGAGCCCTGCGCAGAGGCAGAGGCTGAGGGATGCCAGGAGCTGCATGTTGAGATCTGACAGGCCAACGCTGCTGGCAGTGTCTGTAAATCCAGCAGCTGTGGGAGGGACTTTGGACAGGGATCAGCCCCAGCAGGGTGTGTGGAGGTGTGTGTCACCACATCTCTGCCGAGTGCAAAGGCCGCGTCCTGGGCTCAGCTCACCTCCTTGGCACAAGGCCCTGTGCCTGCTGGGCACACATGGGCTTGGGGCACAGACAGATGCAGGGACAAGAGGAAGTGCAGTGATAGCATTAAATCCTGCCCTGGGCACCCTGGCTCTGCTGCCAGGCAGGGCAATGCCCTGTCCCAGGCCACCATGGGCAGCTCTCAGCTGGGATAACGGTGGGGATGGGGAGCACCTGGGGTCACTCGTGCACTGAGCACCCTGCTCTCTTCCCAGGCTTTCATGGGCAATAAATCCATGGATGTGGACTACAACTCTGCTCCTTGCTCACCCCTTGATAGGAATGTACCAACCCTTGTGTACAGTGCTCCAACCAGGCAAAGCTGGGCAGGACATTGCCTCTCCTCACCCGCATTTCATCACCTCCTGCACCCCAGTGCCTGTAGTGCTGGTGCCAGGGGAAAGCCAGGAGGCACAGCCAGCTGGGGAGGCAGTCACAGGGCAGCACCTCAGGAGGCGACGGCCACTGAGAACTTTTGCAGGGCAGATGGAGACAAACAACCTGTGTTTATTGCATCCCTTGGTCCTGCCCACAGTGGGACTCAGCCAGAGCCTCTCAGCCCCTCCCTGTGAGGGCAGCCATGCAGAGGGCCAGGAGGGCCAGCAGGGGCTGTGGGGAGCACCGCGGGCCATGGGAGGCCCTGCGGGCTGCCCTGCACCCGGGCTCTGTGGCATAGGGCTCGAGGCAGGCGGCGTAGGCCATGGCGTGGGCGATGTAGTGCTGCTCCTGCACCCCGTGGAACAGGTGGGCCATGGGGCCCTGGGCCAGCACCACCACGTCTTCCCCACTGTGAGTCTCTGTCTCCAGGGGCACAGCTGCCTGCTGTCTGTAGTCCTTGTCCTCTGCACGGGGAAGAGGAGAAATGAGGCTGGGGTCTGTCTTGCTGACATGTCACGGGGCTGGGGGACAGCTCCCATCACTCCTGCACCAGCCTGATTTCTGCAGTGGGGTGACTCCTGAGCCTTACAGTGGCACCAGGACCCTGTGTGGCATCCATGGCCATGCCAGTGTGATACTGTCCCCAGCCACTGTGTGCCTCCACCCAATCCCCATCAGACTCACTGGGAATCTGTCCCCAGCCACCCCATGGGTCTGCCACCTCCCCAGCAGACTGGTACCTGCAGCAGAGAGGCTGGCAGCTGGACGGGCCCCATCACGGATGCTGTAGCCAGGACCGTTGCCATAGAGGATGCTGGTGTAGGCTCGCTTGTCCTTGGCTTTCTTGGGGGCCAGCCCTGGCACAGGGAGGGACATTGTCACCCCCTGTCCCAGCTGGGTACCCTCCCCAGCTCCCTGCCTGGGCAAGCTCAACCTCCCTTTGGAGCAACAGGGTGAGGTGGAAAGAGGGATGCTCACTGCCCCTCTCCAGGACCCACCAAAGATGGAATTGCCCCGTGGTGTGCTGCCCCCAAAAGTGAAGACATGAGAGTGATCGGCCGTCACCACGGTCAGGGTGTCAGCAGGGGACGTGAGCTCTCCTGCCCGTGCCACCGCCCGGTCCAGCATCACGGCCTCCATCAGTGCCTGCTTGGCTCGGCCACTGTGGTGGCCATGGTCGATTCTGCCACCTGCACGGGGAATGTGGCTGTCACCCTCTCCCTGGTCCCCTTGCATGGCCATCTACCCCCAGGACCTACATCCCACCTCAGCCCCAGCCACACTGCCCGCCTGGAGCTACTCATCTTCCACAAAGAGGAAGAAGCCCTTGGGGTTCCTGCGCAGGATGCGGATGGCCTTTTCCGTCATCTCCACGATGGAGGGGTCTGTGGATGTGTTGCGGTTCAGCTCATACTTCATGTCCTTGGGCTCGAAGAGGCCTGGGGGAGGAGGGTGAGGGGGTCCATGCCAGGCTGCTTTGTGCCTCTGTTGACATGTCCAGAGAGGGGAGGAAGAAGCATTGCCACTGGTGCAGCCAGTGATGCTCCTACCCATAAGGTGGCTCACAGAGTCGTCTTTGACCGCATCCAGGCCCTTCTTGTCCCAGACATAGTGGGCACCCTGCCAACAAGAGCAGAACCAGTGCCAATGACACACACCCTGTGCCCAGGGTTCCATCTCCTCTTCCCCCACACACTACCTGCTTGGCACTCAGCCACTCAGCAATCAAGTCCCGACCGTCCTTCCTGGTGCCATTTTGATCCGGGTCCTCTGGATACTCGGGGTCTGGAGTCTGCCTGGGGGTCATGTACATCCTCCCGCCGCCCAGGATCACCTGTGGGGAGCTCAGCAGACCCTCCCAGTGTTCCATGGCCCCTCCCTCCCGCTCCCGCTCCCCAGCTCACGTTGATGTCAGTGTTGTGCACCAGTTGGTAGGCGATGTCCTTGCAGCCGTCCTGCAGGGCCTCCCTGGGCATGTTGGCGTCAGCGTACCAGCTCCGGCTGGCCGAGTGCGCGTAGGCTGCCCCGGGGGACGCGTGCTGCACCCGCGTGGTCGTCACGATGCCCACAGACTTGCCTGCAGTGTGGCCAAGGGTTTACAGGGAGCCCATCCAGCCCTGCACGGCACTGGATGGCCGTGCCCGGCTTTCCAACAGGGTTTCCTGCTGTCCCATACCTGCCAGCCTGGCCCGGTGCAGGACAGAGTCCACCTCGTTGCCAAAGGTGGTGTGGCATTTCCCATAGACGGCTGCCCCGCTCAGGCCCAGGGTCTTGGCGTTGGCCTTCACCCCACAGAGGTAGGCGGTGCCCGTGCCAGCGCTGTCGGGCACCTGCCGGTCGATGGTGTAGGTCTGGAAGCAAGATGGGTGCAGTGGGGTTTCAAGCAGGGGCAGCAGGAGTGTCCCCCCAGCCCTGCCCCACTCACCTTGGCCAGGGCCACGTGGGGAAAGGTCTCCATGGCCAAGACGCTCTCCTCGCCCGAGCCACCGGCCAGCTGCCCCTTGTAGATCCGAGCTGCTGACATGGTGGACAGCCCCATGCCTGTGGCCATGTCTGAGTCACTGGGGGGCAGGGGGCCGGACCAGGGACAGCCCTGCCCTCCCCAGGCACTGCCTGAGGGCTTGCCCCAGCCCCATCTTCTCATCAGCCACATCCCCTGGCTGTTGGGGAGCCGCAGGGCCTGGCAGTGACCCGGGGCACTCACCGTCACCCATGAAGAGGATGATGTTTTTGGCCCGCTGTGCTGCTGGCTGCAAGGCCAGGGCCAACTCTAGCCTCCTCCTGGCACCTTTATTCCAGTAGCCCGGGGTCTTCTCAGCATCTGGAGGTGAGAGCAGAGCTGGGAGCCTCCAGGTGCACCCCTGGGATGTCCAGCACGCTCATCTCTACCCAAGGTGAATTTAGCTGCTGTAAGCCCACCCCATGGAGGACCAGGAAGCCCCAGGAGATCAGCATGACTTTTACAGACCAGCATTGCTCAGAAACTACCTGCAGAAAGGAAACTGAGGCACAGTTTGGCAGGGAAGTCGCTTGTACCGCTTGGCAGAGTGGATGAGGAGCCTGAGGATCAGCCCCAGCGAGTGTGCAATGGCTGGGTAACCACGGCTGGCTGTGGCTATTGGGCCACTTTATCCAAAGTCAGGAATGGGGGTTGGGAGCAGCAGGGACAGGGCAGAGGGGGAGCAGGGCCTGCTCTGGGGGGAAGCTGAGACCAACCCATTCAAAGGTTGTGGTATCAGAGCACCCTGAGGTGGCAGTGAGGGTTCCCATTTGCTGGCGTCCCAAGGGGAGGTGACATGGTCCCTGGAGATCCCTCAGGAAGTGACAACAGCCCCAGCATCCCCCACCAGAGGTTCTTACCCCACTGTCCCACACGTGTCCTGTCACCAGAGGCTGCAGCGGCGAGCTGGGCGAGGAGGCAGAGGAGAAGGCAGAGGAGAAGGCAGGTTCCAGAGGAAAGCGGCCGCCCCATGCTGCCCACCCCGGCTCCTCCTGGAATGCTGCCCTAGTCCAGGCCCAGGGACAGCCCTTTATGGCTCTTCCCTGTCCCGTGAGATGATGAGCTGATAACATTCACCGGCTATCTCCCAGCCCTCTCAGGGCCCTCCCAATGCCAGCGCCCCACCCTGGGGCCATCCCTGCCCCCACCAGCAAGGCAGGACCTCCAGCCTGTCCCTGAGGACCAGGGCACCTCTGGGCCCCAGCTCCCATGGGGGCGGCTGCTGGGGGACCCTGGGGAGTGGGAGGGAGAGCACAGGGCAAAGGGCTGTTTTTGCAGACAGGTTGAGCTGGGCCAGGCTGGATTTGTCTGGTTTCTCCTGAGACAAACCCGAGGAGGGGGACACTGGGCTGAGGGGTAGGGAGTGGACATCTTGGTTTTGGTGTCAGTGTCCTCTGGTCCCCGCTCCCAGCAGTGTTACACGCTGCCTACCAGCTCCTGGGACAGCTGGTGCCTGACATGCTGGGCGCCCTGGGGCAGCCCATGCCAGCACACTGCACAGTGGGGCACCTGCTGTGGGCAGGAACAGCCCCTGTCACCAGCATCAGGTGACATCACCCCTGATTGCACCAAGCCATCTGGAAGGACACTGCATGAGCACAAGTCCTGGGGACTACAGGTGTCATTGATGGCTTCACCAGCTCCTAGGAAGTGTGCTGTGCCCAGCCCTGATCCCCCATCCTGACCCAGGCAGTTGAGGTTTGGCCAGCTCCCGGCTCCCGCAGATGGCTGATGCGCTGGTGCTGGCCATGGCTGTCACCACTGATGGGGCAGAGGGATGCAGGGCACCCTCCCTGCCTGGCAGAATGGATCCATTCCTTCTTGCCAGATGTCAATCCCTTCACCAGCCACTTCTTGTGATGGTGTGGAGGCTGCCAGAGCAGCCCATGCCCCCAACACATGCTCAGAGTGTGGGTGGGGGGCATGGGGACAGAGCAGGCAGAG